TTTCAGCGTCTATAATTGCGGGAACCTCTGGGTGTCCTGCCTCTTCCTGATCCTCCTCTATATAGTTGCCATATGGGGCGACGAAAAGAATCTTTACCTCTAGAGCTGGCTATCTTCCTGTCTCTTGCTCTTTGTAGGCCCGTGAACTTAGATCTGCCTGAGTATCTTTGTGAAGTCTGCCGAATGGCAGCTGGCTAGTGTGTCCATCGATCTAATCATAAGGACTTCCCTGGAATCCTTAGAGACTTCCTTGGCGACTTTGTCGATTTCTCCGTCAAAGATGGATGTTGTCAATTGGCGGGGCTGTATAAAGTGGGGCTGTAAAGTTCTCCCCCAATTACAGGAGGCGAGGAGGCCTTGACTGACGAGCTAAGGTCAGTGCTGCTGAAACAGATGTAAGATGATCCGTTAAAACTGCTGATCTTTCTTTGCATAAGTAAGGCAGAATAAATCATTCTATCATCTTCCGTCGTGGAATCCCGGAATCTAGTAATAAGAGTCTCATTGATCGTCCTAGATCTATTTAACCCAAAGAACATACGCCTGCGTCATGGTTTCTATATGAGCTAACTTGCGATCATCCATCTTGTAAATCTTGTTCTTTACATCGCTGATGATCTTATAGTTCTCTCATCGATGTCCTGGGCCTTGTAGAAGGAGTCCATGTTATCGTGGAGAACTTCTTGGCTTGAAAAGTTGGGCAGATGTGGTATCTGAACTTTTCGTAGCTTTCTGGAAAGCTGCATCTAGATTCTGTGGCTTTTCTACCGTCAGATCGGGTCGATCGGGTAGAGTGATTGCATCTGGATCATCTTCCTTCATCAAATACGTCTGAGCTGTATTGCCACTTTTTAGATGGTGATGTGAGATCTGAGGTTATTGACCATCCAATACCGTATCTCTGCATCAGAAAATATGATTCCTCCATCATCCTCAAAACCATCATCATTAATAAATTGTAGATGCTCTTCGGGACTGCGCAGTAGCTGTCTGTATATCTGATGAGGTTTGTGGCGATCTAGTTGACTTGTGTGCGCCAGCTCTATGTGGAGATCTGATGGGTGATCGACCTGGTGATGAACGGTGGAGAGATCGATCTATGGGATGATCTTCGGAGACTTGTGGAGGTGAATGTTGATAATTCCGAAGCTCTTCGCAGTCCCTCGATGTTCTTCTAGGCGATGAAGATCTGGAATCATATGTCCTTCGCCGAATGCCTTCGCGAAGCTTCATTTGCGTCCGGTCCGGGATCGATGATATGACCTTAAGGCTTCGTGATGTCTGATGGTCTGAGTCCATATCTAGAGATGAAATCGAAGATGGTGATGATCTCTCCGCCTTAGCGAAGGCCGCCCGAAAGGCTGTACATCTAGGTCCTTCGTCCAAGGTGGTGCGGGACTTCGCGCCGGCGAAGGTGACATCGTCTTGGCTGCTGCGTTGGCGGGGGTGCCTCTGGGGTGCTGTCACGTTGGAGCCTTCGCGAAGGCTCGGACCCTGCTTGCGCAGTTTGTAGTGGTCCTCCATGATGTTCATAATCTGCCGCATCATGTCTTCTGGGATGATCTGTGACGAAGTCGTCGGCGTCTTTTCTGCGATGGGGTTCACATCAATGACGTCTGACGTCGGTGTAGAGGCATCAGGCTGCATGGAGATCTCTGCAGAAGTCACAGTCGCTGACACCGGTCGCTTCTTCTGCGTGAAGTCGGGATGATTATCGGCTGATCATCGTAGAGGCCCAACTCTGCTGCTGGAACGATCTCGGCTGAGAAAGTTCTTGCTGTCTTCGTGGATTTCCCTTTGGAAGTCTGCGCTGCCCTGGAGTGTCCTCAATCTGCGTTGAGGCGGCGATGAAGAGGCCTCTTAGACTTAGTCTGCAATGACGGGATGTCTGGGAGGCCGCGTTCTTCGAGGTAACGGACTTGCGTCCCGTTCCTCTGCCGCAGGGGTCTCTAGCAGAACACCAGGCGGGAGAGGGTCGATGCTAGCAGCTGACTGGATGGAATATCTGGACTCTCTGCCATGTTTTGCCCTTGTTTGGCGTGGATCTATCTGCAGCACGCCTTAAGACGCAAAGATGATATTTATTAAATGCAGAATGAGATAAATTTATGCAGTAACTGCAACGTGAATTAAACGCACACAGTAGAACAACTAGGGCATATTACATGTGGATCGGAGGCAGAAAAGCGTAATCTACAAATCGTTACAGATTTTCATGAGCGTAAAGCTAGCTGAACAATCACGAATAAACGTGAATAAACAGTAAAATCACGATAATTAATCAATACAAATAGTAAAGGATACTAGCTATACCTCTATAGTAACCTATGAGAGGTAAAACTAAGAGATTATCAAAGGATATGTGTGTAAGGAGACACAAGGCGCTCTCACATCCTGCTCACTGGGCGAAGAAGGAGAGAGTGGAGCACATGGCCAGAGGGTGGCGACACCTTTCCCGCCAGGGGAGACAAAGGGGAGCAACTCGTGGTGAGTACCAATTAGTGATTTTATTTTGAAGGGAGCTTCAAATAAGGAGATACAAGTGTTCCACTATGTTCGCAAGAAGAAGAAGACAAGCAAAAGAGCATGAGTCAGGATAAGGAAAAATTTGCTATTTATATAGCGCCATATTCGCGCACCACACGGAGGCATGCTTAAAATACTACTTGAATATCACCCATGTTAATGAATCAGTACATCTCTATAAACAATTTTTTTTAAAATAAACATAAATCATGAAATCCATGCAAAGTTCTGACTGTGTAGGCCATAAAGTTTCAGAGATATTGAATATGTTAAGTCTACGCCAGATGAATGGACAAGGAACAATGTGCTATGGCAGAAGCTCACCTGAACTTCCAATTCAGGTGAGTTAAAATTAGTAAACATAACTACCGGTACTATTTTTCTGGAATGTTACCTTAGTCAATATGGTTTTCACCGCTTTTAACAATATTCCATCAATATCATGGTGGAGGACACCAGAAATAGGCTTCACACATTACAGCAATGCAGGGAATCAAACCCAGATCTTCATTATGATGAGCAAACACTTTATCCACTAGGCTACCCCACCGCCATGGAATGCTATGAGTGACAAATGGATGGTATAAGCTCCGTTTGCTGTCAGTCAATAGTTGAATGATGACCAATCCCTAACAATAAATAGTCATATTAAAATACTCTCCTACTCAAAGAAGTTGAAGAACACTTGTTTCATTTATGTTGTTGTTAATCTGTCAGAGTATCACTAAGTGAATGCAGTGAAGCATCAGATGGTTGTTAATCTGTCAGAGTATCACTAAGTGAATGCAGTGAAGCATCAGATGGTTGTTAATCTGTCAGAGTATCACTAAGTGAATGCACTAAGTGAAGCATCAGATGGTTGTTAATCTGTCAGAGTATCACTAAGTGAATGCAGTGAAGCATCAGATGGTTGTTAATCTGTCAGAGTATCACTAAGTGAATGCAGTGAAGCATCAGATGGTTGTTAATCTGTCAGAGTATCACTAAGTGAATGCAGTGAAGCATCAGATGGTTGTTAATCTGTCAGAGTATCACTAAGTGAATGCAGTGAAGCATCAGATGGTTGTTAATCTGTCAGAGTATCACTAAGTGAATGCAGTGAAGCATCAGATGGTTGTTAATCTGTCAGAGTATCACTAAGTGAATGCAGTGAAGCATCAGATGGTTGTTAATCTGTCAGAGTATCACTAAGTGAATGCAGTGAAGAATCAAATGTTCTTTAACTTCTTTGAGTAGCATATTTGTTCAGTTCAAACAGAAATACAATGAAAAATATACTTATATTAATACTGTTCCTGATTAGTAACAAGACACCAAGTGAGACATTAAGCACTTGCTCAAACTGTTGATCACTGGATTGTTTGGTCCAGATTGATTATTTACAGACTGCCGCCATATAGCTGCAATACTGAGTGAGGCATGAACAACAAACAAATATCAAGAACTGTCTTTCCTGAACTCAAGAAGAAAGACTCCACTTATGTTAGTGTTCAATACATATGGGGGTCCTTGTCTTAACACTATTGACGAAGATTAATGACCTCCTTACTGTCACATACCACAGGAGAAAATCCTAGGACCTACCACTATCACCCTGAACACTGTTACTTTATTTTGGTTTCAGCTAAGATGCTAAAAGAGCTATTTCTAATTAGGCCACACAACAACAACAAAAAATTGTAGCAGTGATCGATATCCTAATAATACCACATCTTACAAATACAAGCCTCTAGCAAACTATAGCAAACTATAGGCTCACTAGACAATAAACATGGGAAGACGAAAGAAATGGGTTCTTCAGGGATATCATTCCCAGAGATGAGGGTGTGAAGTTTATTCAAAGTCTAACATATATATCATGTTCCCAGTATTGGTTGTGAGGAAGGATGCAGTTGCTGATGCCTAAGAACAGGGACGCATCTCATCACCTTAGCACGGCCCAACTTTGTTTCTTGTTTTAATAATGTTGTATTATGTATATGTTAGTAACTGTGTCAAGGATGGAAGCAAAAAATAGCAAAAAGGAATCTTGACAGGGTTGATTTGAGGTTAAACTTCTAAATATTATTCTTCATCTAAACTTTCAATTTTTTATAATTGAGTGTTCCAGGTTTCAGTCTGATCAGTGAATGTTCCAGTTCTCAGTCTGATCAGTTCCAGGTCTCAGTCTGGCCATTAATTGTTCCAGGTTTCAGTCTGAACAGTAAATTTTCTAATCTGATGAGTGAATGTTCCAGGTCTCTGTCTGACCAATAACCAGTCCAGGTCTCAGTCTGATCAGTGAATGTTCCAGGTTTCAGTCTGACCAGTGAATGTTCCAGGGTCCAGTCTGATCAGTGAACATTCCAGGTCTCAGTCTGATCAGTGAACATTCCAGGTTTCAGTCTGACCAGTGAATGTTCCAGGGTCCAGTCTGATCAGTGAACATTCCAGGTCTCAGTCTGATCAGTGAACGTTCCAGGTTTTAGTCTGATCAGTGAACGTTCCAGGTTTTAGTGTGATCAGTGAATGTTCCAGGTTTCAGTCTGATCAGTGAACATTCCAGGTTCCAGTCTGACCAGTGAATGTTCCAGGTTTTAGTCTGACCAGTGAACATTCCAGGTTCCAGTCTGACCAGTGAATGTTCCAGGTTTTAGTCTGATCAGTGAACATTCCAGGTTTTAGTCTGATCAGTGAATGTTCCAGGTTTTAGTCTGGTCAGTGAATGTTCCAGGGTCCAGTCTGATCAGTGAACGTTCCAGGTTTTAGTCTGATCAGTGAACATTCCAGGTTTCAGTCTGATCAGTGAACATTCCAGGTTTTAGTATGATCAGTGAACATTCCAGGTTTCAGTCTGATCAGTGAACATTCCAGGTTTTAGTCTGATCAGTGAACATTCCAGGTTTCAGTCTGATCAGTGAACATTCCATGAGTGAACATTCCAGGTTCCAGTCTGACCAGTGAATGTTCCAGGTTTTAGTCTGATCAGTGAACATTCCAGGTTTTAGTGTGATCAGTGAACATTCCAGGTTTTAGTCTGATCAGTGAATGTTCCAGGTTTTAGTCTGATCAGTGAATGTTCCAGGTTCCAGTCTGATCAGTGAACGTTCCAGGTTTTAGTCTGATCAGTGAACATTCCAGGTTTCAGTCTGATCAGTGAACATTCCAGGTTTTAGTATGATCAGTGAACATTCCAGGTTTCAGTCTGATCAGTGAACATTCCAGGTTTTAGTCTGATCAGTGAACATTCCAGGTTTCAGTCTGATCAGTGAACATTCCAGGTTTAAGTCTGATCAATGAACGTTCCAGGTTTTAGTCTGATCAATGAATGTTCAATGTCTCGGTCTGATCAGTGAACGTTCCAAGTTCCTGCATTCTACAAAGCTTCAACTAGTGTTTCACAGAAGCAGATTTTGGCATGACTAAGCTGCATACAGGACAACTGCTCTGGTTTCAAATGACATCATACAGACACTGGTTAGTTGAATGATCCATATGTAGTGCAGCACTGGAAATTCAGATGAGTATTCCTATGTATAGTTCCATTCCATTACCCCATGGCCATATCTCGGTTGTATTATGCCAAACAGACTGGACCCTTTGGCCATTATGGCTTTGTTTAGGAAATGAGATCTTCTTCTCACTTATCACTAACTTCCCACAGATTTACTCTTGCTCATCAACTTGGACTTAACAACCAATCAACTTCTTTTCCGAAAGTGAGTTCACTGTGATATATATATTGAAGATGTTTACCCTCTATAAGTTTAATTGAATTAGAACACAGTCCAAATTAACTGCTAGCTTAAACAGATATTTTCCGGGAGTACAAAAACAGAAGACTGACTGACTAGTTTGGTTTTACGCCGCTTTTAGCAATATTCCAGCAACATCACGGAGGGGGACACCAGAAATGGGCTTCACACATTGTACCCATGTGGGGATTCGAACCCGGGTCTTCGGCGTGACGAGCCAACGCTTTAACCATTAGGCTACCCCACCGCCCCACAAAGACAGAAGAGGAAGTTGTGATGGAACTACATGTTTCTGCTGTATGTTAGATGGTAAGTCAATTTGGTAAGTGGTGATGTCCCTGCTGGTTCAGATCATGAAAGAATAGTGTAGTTGGACTGGATGTACAGACCAGTGGTCAGTCAACAAGATACAAATGTTTCCTGGGTATTTACCACGGAAGGAGATTTAATACACCTGACAAACAAAAATGGTCTTTGGTAGATTATACACCTCCACTGACTGTGTTTTTATGGTATGCTTCCCTCAATGTAAAGACCTAGTCTTAAGGTGCTGGGTGTTGGTGGTTTGTGAGGGTTTCTAACACAGCTTTCATATACATTCAGATCAATCTATTGTGAAACAACTTGAGGTAATGTCGTCCCTTGCACACTGGTGTCATCTGTTTCCCTGGTTTACTGAAACAAACAACACATGTATGAGTGAGTTGATCTAAGGCAACACTGCACATATGTTCAGCTCCTGTATACTGCAGGAGGAAACATTCAGATGTATGCTGATGGACTATAACAACAGACACCAGACAATCCAGTGATTCATGTTACGAGCAGCGGTCTATGCACCGACCGAGTCGGACTACCTGATCAGTCATTTAGAATCAGAGAAAATTGAAATATATTATCAGGGATAAAGTCTAAGTGCCTGTGACCCTAACTTACCTTTTTGGACCAAATTTTGTCTGGCTTTGATAAATGCCATGATATCTGCATCTGCCTGAGAGTCACCAGTTAGCAGTATGTTGCTCATGTGCTGTGCAGACCTAGTTAAAACAAACATGCAGGTTAAAGGTGCTCGACAACACACAGTCGTAATACAGTGGACTAGTCGCAGGCATGAAATATTATATACCGTCTAGATTTTCTATGGGTCCAAAAACCTGCGACTGCTTTCCATATATCCCTAACACATCACATGTTCTCTTAAAGTAGTCACATGACCAGCCCCAATGCATTATGGTCAGAATTTATGTTTGAACCTGGTTTGGATGTGCAGGGGGATCTATTACTTTCCAGCTGAAAACACAAGAGGAATGTGTGCATGTAATTGTGCAAGGTGTACCTATAAACTGCAACATCAACTTCACACTTACAGAGATGATAAAACACTCGCCATGTTAACAAGTTATTAAAGTATACTAAAACTCATGGTATTTTCAAAGTAACTTCTAATGATGACTGAGCTAATTCCTTCAACAAACGATGTTACATTTAAATATGCTACAATTTATAACATGGTAACATTAAACTGACAACATCAGTGTTGTGACATCACGTTACCATGGTTACAGTGTCAACATGACCAGTGTTTTATCCACAAGGTATCTCTGCAACCTCACCACTCACTTTGATTTGTGGCCATGATTGGAGCTGACCGACCCCTGTGACGTGTATCCGCTAGACTCCTCCCCATGGGCAGGGGGGAAATTCGATGCGGAGATGTTCCCTGCCACTGTCCTCCTCCCTCGGCTGGAACTGGGGGTCGAGGTAGGGAGGTTTCAGAGTGGACGGGACTGATGACCTCCTGGGTGTAGTTCCGCTGATTGTGCTGGAGGGGGGTGAGGGGTGGGGTGCGCCAAGCAGACTTCACACTCCCCCGGACAGACTGAGGGACGGACTGGTCCTGTGACAAAGGTATAGTTAGCATTTGATGCTTGATGGGCATTTTGAAGTTGGAAGGTAAAATAACAACGTATGGCAAGGATTTACAATGTATATTATTTACAAGACAAGGTTTCTGGGCTACTTCTTGCCCCTTCATCAGGTGAAGTAGCCCAGAAACGTTGTGTTGTAAATAATAGAGAGGTTGTAAATCCATACCATACGTTGTTACATAGTTAGCATTTGTTTGTTCATTTGCTGTTTAATAACTCACTCAGCACAAACCCGTGAAGATCCGGGTTAGAATTGATCTTCAGTAACCCATGCTTGTCGTAAGAGGCGACTAACGGGATTGGGTGGTCAGGGTGGAAACACCATAGTTTCGATTTTCGATAACCATTATCACTATTTCGATCCGATATTTGAATACCTATTTAAATTATTTCCACACAGCCAGAACGTAATTTTGACTCAAACTGCGAGCAGTTTCGAGTGCTGAAATAAGGCTAAACATGACTGGTTGACGCCGGGCTAATTATTCATTGAGAATTGTTGTTAGAAGACATTGCCAAGTTGACAATGGATTTCATGCTAAAAAAGCTGACTCTGAGAGCACAGGAACCCATTATCGCTATGTAGGTGAGGTGAGGTGAAATTGGGTTTAACGTCGTGCTTGAGAATATTTCGCTCATATAACGACGTGCATGCGTGTGTATGTGTATGTGCGGCTGCTTGTACTAGCCCAGACTGAAGCTGGTTTTATAGTGCTAGCCCACTGACATACCATGCCGCAGTGAAGCATGAATACCCCACTCAGACACATTATACTGACTCCGAGCCGACCAGTCCTTGTTGTACCCATTAATGCCGAGCGCCAGGCAGGGACCAACAAGTACCATATTTTAACGTCTTTTGGTGTGACGCGGTCGGGGATCGAACATGCGACCTTCTGCTCTCCAGGCGGACGCTCTAACCACTACACCACGAAGGCGGTCCATCGCTATGTAGGTTAACATAGACCATAGATCTACATACTCTAGTTATATATATGACGTGAGTTAGATGAAATCTGATGTTTTTTCTTGTATGAAGAATCAAATCGAAAATGGTCGAATCGACAGTCCAATATCGAAAATGGAATTGAGGTCTGGGTGAATCGTTGCAGCCCTAGTGGTAATAGCTACAGATTTAGCATTAAGGCTATATAGTTGGAGTAAGCCAGGGCTGTTTCACAAAGTGATAGTGTAAGTTCATTGTAACTCATGCTTTATCATAGATTTTGGAAAGTCGTAGCAATAGAAAACTTCATAGAAGGTGGGTCAAAATTCCAGAGCATCACAACCTACCTGGGTATTAGCAGACTGTTCTGCCCACCAGAGTTCGAAGTCCTTCATCAGCTTGACCTTGGCCTTCTCTAGGAGATGCTGCAGGTGCTCGATCTCCGTCTTCATCGTCCGAAGGTGTGTGAATGTCTCCTTATACCTGTGGTCATGATAGTGGTTGGAATGGCATTATTTGTTTTTCTTTGCTTTGGCCATTTTGGTAAAAGACCTGTCATACCTAGCTCAAATCCGATTTCAGTGAATGAGTTTCCACTAAACCATTAAAAGTGAACAGAAAATCTAAATAAACAGAACCAGTCACAAGACTATCCAAAATAGGGGCCAAGTTAACTATCCCAATTGTCCTGTAATAGATGGGGCAATGTATAAACGGTACTCACTCGGCTTTGTCACCTTCCATCTGATCCCTGAGGCTCTGTTGTATGAACGGTACTCACTCGACCTCGTCGGGGTCTGGGTTGTCGGGGTCAGCGAGGCCTGTAGCAGAGATTAGAGTGAGTGAGTGTGGTTTTACCCAGTTTGCAGCAATATTCCATCAAAATCACAGACGGGACACCAGAAATGGGCTTCACACATAGAACGATGTAAGGAACTGAACCAAGGTCTTCAGCATGAGAAGCGAATACTTTAACCACCCCACCCAACCACTGTAATCACCCAGTGTAGGCTGTCGACATAATAAAAGACACTGGGTGTAACGTTTAATGAGATATCGCATTTACATAAGTTTGAAAAGTGGTCAAAGTGTCATGGTGACCTTGAAGATAAGGTCGTCACACTCCTGTTAGTAATATTTCCCTATTCCCTCTTTACAACTTACTTTGCGTGCGTGCGTGCGTGCAACTCAACTCCTTACCTTGCATCGCCAGCTGCATCCGATGCTGCTCAATCTTACTCTTGGACAAATCTGAAATCACAGACAGAGAAATATGAAACAACTGATATAAATGTAATAAAATCGCAGAATATCTTGCCATATTGTTTATCACCCACTCCCTGAGCCTGTCATGTTTGTTATCTCCCATGTTTTCACAAGGAATAAATATCTGGCATCATTATATGGGTTTTACATGTGCCAAAGACTGAAACACAAGCTCATAACCATAACAGCATTGCTATTCACTGCTGATAGAAAAACCCTAACTGCGCATTGCACAATTAACTTTTTGTTAAATCATTATGATTTTTGTAAAGAGTGGGAGGCTCAAAGTTGAGCAATACAGAATTACTTCCCCTGACTTCCAAGATCAGAATAAGATAGTTCCCTTTTCCCATTCTTCAATGCCCCACCGTGATATTGCTGGAATATTGCTAAAAGTGGCGTAAAACCATACTCACTCACTCCACACTTCAATCAAGACAATTGGAATGTTTTAAAGGATTTGTCACTAGGTGTGCTTTACAATGATTAAACAAGGACTACTTTTTGGAAAAGTGTACTCAAAATATATAGGACCAAAAAGTCATATTTTGGGGATAATCTTGGAAATGCCAACTGAGCAAGTAATTTCACTAATATATCCCTAAAATATTCACGATCCCTAACTATTTTGTTTGGTATATATGTTACAGTATTACTCACTGATTCTAGTTTTGGCTTTATTGAGATTTTCTCCATATACTTTGGCCTCCGCATATCTCTGCTTGAGTATCCTCTTGTTCTCGTCAATCTTCTGGTTCTGCTCGTAGTCTCTCATGAAGATGTCAAACGCCTCCTGTCGGCCCATGGACATGCGCCCCACTGAGGATCAAATGGTGGAATATTCTTCACATGTGAAAGATGATATAATACTGTTCAATATTTTATCAATATTGCTGACGACTTCTTCATCAGCAAGTGATACATATGAATGATCTGACTTAAAATCAGATTATTTCATCCAATATGATACATCTCTGCATGAAAAACAAAGGATACTTGCCCAGGTCACAGCAGGGGAGGGGCAGTGGGGTAGCCTAGTGGTTAAGGCGTTCGCTCATCACGTCGAAGACCTGGGTTCGATTCCCCACATGGGTACAATGTGTGAAGCCCATTTCTTTGTTCCCTGCCATAACATTGCTGGAATATTGCTAAAAGTGGCGTAAAACTAAACAAACTCACTCACTCACACCAGGGGAACTTTTCAATAAATATCAATATGGAAGCTGAAATATTCTAAACATGTAGAAGTGAAACACATAGGCCTAGTTTCTGATTTCAAATCAAAAGTCAATCAATCTTGTCTAAATTGAAATGATAAAGTGCGGAGTGACAATTTTCTTGCTTAAGTTTATGAGGAGTGAGTGGAGTGAGTGAGTTTAGTTTTTACACCACACTCAGCAATATTCCAGCTATATGGCTTCGGTCTGTAAATAATCAAGTCTGGATCAGACAATCCAGTGATCATGAGCATCGATCTGCGCAATTGGGAACCGATGACATGTGTCAATCAAATCAGTGAGCCTGACCACCCGATCTCATGACAAGCATGGGTTACTGAAGATCACTATTCTAACCCAGACCCAAGTTTATGAACCTTATTTAATGCCTTGTCCATGATGTCTGATACTCACAGATCTTTGTCTTGGTCCTTTCCGCCATCTCTGCCCGAGCACTAGCTTTCCCAGAGGATCTCGTGTCTCTCTGACCTTCACCTTCACTGTACCGATTGTCTGTGGCACTATGACTGGAGTAGTTGTGGGAATGGTAACCATTCTGACCATCATCCCCGTTTGTCATCCTGTTTCCCCTGGTTGCAGCCAGGTTGGACCCTCGGTGTGATTCCGAGAGGGAGATGGCATCGGCAGCTCTCTTCTTCTCCTTCTTGAGCATGTTTACCAAGATGTCTGGACACGGTTAAAGATTCACCCAGCAACAATGACAACTCAAACTTCATGAAAAAAGACATATGGATACATCTTTACTTTCTCTCTCTTACTTTATTTATCAATATAAGATCATGGTTTGCCCTGTCAAATTTCTTTCAGAACATATTTTCAATCCAACCACATTCATGTGAACCCTGTTAGTATGGAAATTCCTCCTTCCAGACAATCAGTGTTGGGAAAATTTATATCTGATTAAATGGGTTTCCTGCTGTTGTAATGCGGCCCAGTGTCAACTGGAGTTGTCTCCCTTACAGGGCTGGTGGCTGGTCTCTCCAACACCAGTTTCTGTGGACAAAGGGATCTTCTCAAAACATAACAGAGTGAAAAACCAATACTACATTGCCTTATCACGAATTACTGTTCCCTGATTTGCTGATAACATAGGTCTTGTGGAGTGTTATTGCACTGTTCAATGTCACTGATTTCAATATCTACAGTTCATTGTGTTGATGTAAAAATAAACATTTTGTGATGCTATTACTGTTGGCATAATTATTTAAAAGACTTATAATAAGAATAATAAATAATCTGAACATTTGTATAGCACTGATCTCCAACAATTCAAGTCAATTTTAATATCTCCCAAAGAGATAGGTCTTGAGATGAGCTTTAAAACGTTAAGTGAGGGAGAGCATTGCAGATCATAGGGAAGAGAGTTCCAAAGTACAGCTGACTCATACTGAAAAGTTCTGGCACCAAATGATTTTAACTTGACTCTTTGTTTTTGACAGTTATTGAGATATAAACAAACATGTGGAGCACCATTCATTTTATGGAGGTCTTTGAATGGCATTTAGAAGTGATACACGTAAAGAAGAGACTTTTTGTAGATGAAAGTCAGAAATTGACATCCATAAAATTCTCTTTCTTAAATGATATGCACACTGTTATTTATGTTTAAACATCAAAAACGCAAACAAGTAGGTGTGTCAATTCTTATATGGGCTAATCTGCTATGACATGATACCCTCACATACCCTGAGAAGATTGAAGCAGGTGTGGATCTTCCGCATGTCGGCACCGACACTAATAATGGAGTCCGGGTCGGTGTCCTCGAGGTAGGCATTGACAGCCTCCTCACATCTGGAACAACACGACAGTTTACAGGAGCATCTTTACATGTTCCAGTTCACAATTCAAAATTCACATCCATGACTTGTACAATTCTGGAGGGAATAGTTCCATATCCTTGTGGACTGCCATCCTCACTTTCAAACACTTGCAACTAATTTTTGCAGACTAATGAATATCAAGTTTCATTTCTAACCTTAATGAATAAGCTTGTCAACTAGCTATTCTTATCAGTTAAAGTCCACCTCTGGTCCCTATGAACGGTTGGGAAGAAATTTAGACATTGCTGTAATCCCAATTATGGGTACAATGTGTGAAGCCCATTTCTGGTGTCCCCAGGTCCGACCAAAACTCATGATGTTACTAAAATATTTTGCATCAAGCTATGACGTAATCTACCAAAACTGACAGTCAGTCAGTCAAAATTATTCTTATCTTGACTAAATGTACAAAGTCAAAGCTAATTACTGTTCATCATCAAGCTGTGAACAGTATCTGAAGGAACTTAGACATATTGCAGTATACATCTTGTAATTGTTGATAATGTAGTATTCTACATTATTCTTATTTTAAATAATAAACTGTAACAGAATGTTTCTTTTTGAAAAACAAAACACTGAAATGGACTATCTTGCCTTAAGAACTGATTCACCCATGAAGATCCTGGTTAGAATTGATCTTCAGTAACCTATGCTTGTCATAAGAGGTGACTTACTGGACCTGGCTCGCTGACTTGGTTGACATATGTCATTGTATCCAAAATGAGTAGATCAATACTCATGGTGTTGATCACTGGATTGTCTGGTCCAGACTTGATTATTTACAGACTGCCGCCATATAGCTGGAATATTTCTGAGTGCGGCGAAAACTAAACTCACTCACTCACGAAGAACTGTTTCCAGGGCAGAAAAGATACCCCGTCCCCTGCTGCTGTAATGTTGATTAAATGAGACGCCAATGGTCTCAATGTATGACATTGTAGACCCCACATTCTCTTCCCACTCCTGTCATATCTTCCTACGTAACCTCTGTTCTAATACAGCCCTATTTCCCGGTTCTCGTAAAATCCCCTAGCGGCCAAAATCGCAACACGAATTATCTCCCTCCCTTCTTTCTATCCAATCCAATCACGTGTTACATCGACTTAGATCCAATATGGCGGCCGTCATAGAGTTAGTTGATCAACGTGCGAAGGATAGATTCGGTATTTCATGTTTAACTGAAAAGCAGAAACTAGGGCAATAGACAGTGCAGGAATCAATCGACAAGATGTTTTTGTTGATGTGACATACAAGACATTTAATGGCCAACATGTCCGTTGTCAACGAGGGCGATGGAGACGCCTTTGATCTGCCATTACATGACTGGGTTCTTTCTATAAGAAACGTATGGGTATCGTGCTGGGGAAGAGGTACTAGTTTTCCCCGAAGCAGACGGAAATTACCGAGGCTTTGCGAATGATCACTTTTGAAACAAAGTCGCTGATTGCACAACTAAATCTGATTGTAGCAAATCATGAAGCCAGAACACTTGCACCATGAAAGAGCCATATTAGAACAGAGGTTACGTAGGAAGATATGATAGGAGTAACCTCTGTGGGAAGAGAATGTAGACCCCAGCGAAGATCATCAACCCTGCTATGAACCCTTGACATTGTAATAAAGCTGGCCTTTTGCTGAGTAATAAAGTAACTTCACCATAACCCTGTCCAACAGGTCCTACATTTTCTAATTTAGTCATTGTAATGATGTAGCTGCTGGCAATTTATAAAATGTCCAAAACATGTGCGCACCTTTGGAGCTCCTCCTCAGTGAGTTGGTCAGTCCGCTGCTGACCAGTGGCCAGTGCTAGCTCCTCTTTCAGCTGCTGGATCTCTCTCTTCAGCTTCTGGATCATCAACTTGGGGTCCAGCTCCTCGTTTAGCATCACATCGTTCTTGATCATCGCCACCCGCTGGGCAAACCGACAAGTCGAGATTGTCTCCTGTAGAAATAGAACAGGAGCAATAGGCCATGAGTTGTGTGGTGTGTTATCATTCCCCTGCACTCTGAGAAACCATGCTGGGAGTTATAAGATTAAATACTCCTCAATAGGCCTCAGTTTTGTAATATAAGGGATGGCTGTCATCTGTATCTACAACTGTGAGCATGCTGTGTCAGTCTTATGGTTGATTCAGGAAACTGAAAATTATTTAACTCCTAAGCATTATGATCACTTTATAAAAGTGAGATTGCAGCAATATCCACATCACAGAAGGATCATATTCATTTCACAAACACAATTTACTCCTTGTGAGAGTTGAAGCTATATCCACATCACAGAAGGATCATATTCATTTCACTTCGCTGATGAACACAATTTACTACCCCACAGCCTTGGAGAAACTATAGCAATAAGTCATATGGATTTGGTTGAGTCTATTTAAATAGGTAGATGTTCCAATCTAGTAATCCCTTCACCCCTATATATAGTTGATTCCAGATCCATATATTGCCACATGGTCTTAAACCACCACATATTCACATGTAGGAATCCTAAATGTCATATTACCCCCTAAAGATCAAGATTACAAAATCTTTAGAAACAATATTCATGTTATAAGAATGAGTGAGTGACTTTCGTTTTATGCCGCTTTTAGCAATATTCCACCAACATCACGGCAGGGGACACCAGAAATGGGCTTCACACATTGTACCCATGTGGGGAATCGAACTCGGGACTTCATGGTTACAAGCGAATGCTTCAACCACTAGGCTACTCCACCACCCCTGTGTTATAAGAGGCAACTAATATATTGGGATAATGAGACTTCCTAACTTAGTAGATACATGTCATTATATCCCAATGGTTTAGATCAATGTTCATTATGTCAATCACTGGAATGTTAGGTCCAGACTGGATTATTTACAGACCACTGCCATATAGCTGAGGTATTGATGAATACAGTTAAATGCAAACAAAATGTCATGTTAGGATCTTCATGAATATAATGAAGGACTTACATCAATATTTTTCTTGTCAACTGAGCATGTAGCAATCATTGTGGTCATACAGTTTCCCCGAGGCTGTCTCGCAGCACTGACGTCATCATGGAGTTGCGATAGGGGATGTGGACGCGGACCCTTCTCTGACAAGGAGATGATCACCTGCAACATTGAGACGATTAGAAGCGTCAGTGACTGCGGCCATATGGACAGGGATAGCACAAATATAGTCTGATTGCACTGAAAACGTACCGATGAATTTCACTTTAAACAAAAACGTAAATCAAATAAAGTGAAATTAGATGTGCGAATCCTCATGATTTTACCTTGCCAATTGAACATTTAAATCTCAGAATTTTATTCAACTTAGGATAAAAGTTGTTTAACAAACGATCATAGTTTCAAATCACTATTATTGGTTTGTATTACAAGGGGGTATGCACATTAAATGAAACACCGAGAACAAGTAGGGTTGGTCTAAGTTAACGCTCATCACGTACTGCAAGTGCATTTGTATCACTGTTCCAATTACTGCGTTTACACCCTTGTAATACAAACCAATAATCGCGATTCGAAGCTATGATCGTCTGTTAAACAACTTTTATCCTAAGTTGAACAAAATTCTGAAATTTAAATGTTTAATTGGCAAGGAAAAATTATGAAGATTCGCAATCTTAAGTTCACTTTATTTGATTTACTTATTGTTTAAAGTGAAATTCATCGGTACGTTTTCACTGCAAACAGACTATAGTTGCCATATGAAGGTGAAAAAGTTTGCGTGGGTGGGTAAACAAACAAACAACGATACATATGACTGTGCAAGCTGTGTGTATTCTACGTCACTCACTTACTTGGATCTTATAATTATCATTTGAATTTAATTATGATGTCTGTTTGATAGCCAAAAGTCATTTTCATTTTACTTCCTGTTTGAAACTATCTCAGGATTGGTCAGTTAATTTGGAAAGAGAATATAAGTGAGTGACTGAGTATGACTTCAACAATATCACAGCAGGGACACCAGACATAGGTGTCACACATTGTACCATGTTGGGAATCAAACCCGGGTCTGGCTTGAAAAGCGAAACTTTAACCACTGGGCTACCTCACCACCTGTTTCGGTAGATGATCAAGATAAATATTGTTTTTATTATACATACTGTTAAATGAGAACATCACTTGACTGTAAACTTCAGTTGATTAATACCAGCTTTGTGATGATATATGTTTGACATGTCAAATCCTCAGCGAGAGGGTTAAATGAAATCTCTCCACGGAAATGGAATGGCACCATCAAGTCCAACAATTTGCCCACCCAGAGTTAGCCTCCCTGACTCACCTGCTCCAGGAAGTGGAGAGACAAGTTGATGTATTTGGCTTCAGTCAACAGAACGCCATTCACCCCTGTCTTGGACACTCGCTCAGATCTGTAGGATGGAAACCAAGTTCACATCAGGGGTGGATCCTTGGTTTTCAAAGCATATACTAACTCCGTACTATCTGGATGAATACACAGCGATTCCTTATTCTTAACACCACAGCTACACTTTGCAGCAATGTCACAGCCAAGCATACATGTGGTTGATGAAATGAACACCGATCCTCGCCACTGTGGTACCATGCCACACAATCAGCCAGGTCACATGTTACAACCATATAATCATCATGTTAGTCTGTTCTTACAACCAGTAGAGCCTGCTTCTACAATAAACATATCCTAATCTAACTATCAATATCCATAACCAATAGGGGTGGGTATTGCAGAGAATTTTCATATTGCGATATATTGCGATGCGAAAGCATGTATTGCGATATGTATTGCAATATCTTGCATGAAGTATTTTTAAACAAAAAACTACTTATAATCTTATTCAAGTTAATTCTTGATTTATAGAGCAAAAACACAACAAAATCACTAGGCTTGATTAAGCTTTAATAACAACTTTTAATCATGATAAAATAAAAATGTGAATAATCTTTGGCACAAATGAAACAAGGACATATCCGAAGATTTCTGAGTGTTACGAAGTTTTCCGAATGCAAGTCAAAATACCGGTTTTCAATCAGCGTATCGCAATACGTATCGTTTTCAGGTTTGAACCGGTAAATACCGGTAAACCGGTTATATTGCACAGCCCTAATAACCAATTTCATGTAATTGTCCATAATGAATATTGAAGTATTACTTGTTTCATTCATGGTATGGCTGAAATATTGTGTTATTGAAATATTACTTGTAAGTGATTGAGGGTGGTTGTAGGCCACTATAACCAATCTTCCAGCAATATTACAGATGGGGCATCGCATTGTACCCATGTGGGGAATCAAACCCAGGTGTTCTGCGTGACAAGCAAACGCTTAACCACAAGGCTACCTCACCGTTCCTACTCCACAAAGGGATCTATGCACTTTGATTGTTGTAAGTCTGTGTTAAAGTATCCAAGTTACAATTATCTGTAAGATTTCTTTATGGAAAAAGGCACTGTATAGGTTTCTCAGAGCCAAACAGGTTGCTCGGAACCAATTCAAACCAAGAACTCCCAACATGGCATCTGATAACCCTTATCACTTAGTAAATACCACTGTAACAAGCAGATCCTCAATACTCAATGCTTGTGACACGCCTGAGGTACCTGGCCAATGTATTCAGGTATTCACACAAAGTAAACAAACTGTGCAGACAAACCCGGCCAGATCCACCAGATGCAGCTTGGCCCTGCGGATAGTTGCGGAGCCTGCTTCCCGTGCTGTGAGGTGTATTGTGAAGATACAGTGAGACCGTGTAGATGCCTGGTTCATGGGGGTCTGGGAGGCAGATACATGTGAGTCATGCAGAAGATGATAAAATATAGATTCTGTGCAAATGTGTCAAAGAATTTATGAAAACTTTGTGATGACCGCACTATTACTTACCATAGCCATTCTGAAAAATCTTTATCACTACTATTACTCATGAATACACAATGCCTTCTAGAAAGTAGTCAACAGGGATTGGGATAGAGAACTTTGACAATGGGCCATTTTCAGGATTATTAACCATTTTCTGAATTTAGAATGACCACTGCCCTTGTGTCAATAGTAAACTTCAAAATTTTAAAGGGCCATTTGTTCTTCTTATGTGCAAAATGGCCCATGGCCCCTGCCTTTCCCAAATGAGTCAAATGTAACATATGTCATATTTTGGATTACACTCAGTAAGTGCAGGTTCTAGTACTTTTTGGGCTGAGTCCCATCTGGGATTTGAACCCATACTTTCAGAATATGGCATTGAAATTGCCATCACAACAAAGTCAGTTATCTAACCCACTCAGCTTCCACAAACTACCAGTTATCAGATTTCCATTTTTGTTACTATCACTCTTAATCTCCTCCATAATATGCAACAGATTACTTTGTACATTGTCAATGTTTTGTAGTAAGCACATCAAGGGGAATAACTCCTGTCAGATAAATCTTTGACACAAAACTTGAATACTGGTGTCAGGATTACCATTTCAATGGAAAGTATTTCAGCTTGGCACAAACAAGCATCAAACATACAAATCTTTAAAACTTGAAACCAGTTGAATAATAATTAACAATTTAACCCTTACTCACAAATCTTAACATGATAAAAAGAGCATATGATTAGAAAGGATTTCTCATATTTCAAACATATTCTGGTACATTTCCATAAGGAAACATTATTGTAGCAAAGTCTAAATCCACAGCATTACTTTTAAGCCTATACTGAGTGTAATGAAAATGATTCACAGCTAAACTCAGGTGTGCCTACAGATTCAAATTGATTTCAGATGATCAGTTTAAGCACAAATATAATGTAAGTGGTGATTCTGTGCAGATGGAAATAAATGATTCTGATGACCACCTGGGTGACGAATGGTAGTCAAGATGTCTGTACCTCTGCTATCATCCGGTTGGTGTCCCCCAGAAACAGCAGGTTGAGAGCATCCTCCTCACTGGCAGCCTGGTGCACAGACAGGTTCTTCAGGTGGATGTTCTGGTCCGAGTCTTCCATCAGGGACACCTTCCTGCACAGACATATGACTACTGAGACAGACAGACAGACAGACAGACAGACAGACAGACAGACAGACAGACAGACAGACAGACAGACAGACAGACAGACAGACAGACAGACAGACAGACAGACAGACAGACAAACAAACAGACAGACAGGTTCTTCAGGTGGATGTTCTGGTCCGAGTCATCCATCAGGGACACCTTCCTGCAGATACATGACTACAGAGAGACAGACAGACAGACAGACAGACAGACAGACAGACTTCAGGTGGATGTTCTGACAGTCAGACAGACTTCCAGACATCAGACAGACAGACTTCCAGACAGACAGACAGACATGACAGACACTCAGACAGACAGACAGGCACAGAACAGACAGAGAGACAGACAGACAGACAGACAGGTTCTTCAGGTGGATGTTCTGGTCTGAGTCCCCCATCAGGGACACCTTCCTGCACAGACATATGACTACTGAGACAGACAGACAGACACAGAACAGACAGACAGACAGACAGACAGGTGGATGTTCTGGTCCAAGTCTTCCATCAGGGACACCTTCCTGCACCGACATGTGACACTCAGACAGACATATATTTATGTGCTGTATATTTACTTGAATTCCCAATATGGCTATAACGAACTGAAATAAACAGACTTTATTTTATGCAAGCTGACTAGTCATTACTGTTCTACATACGGCAGATCTTCCAGTTTTGCTGCCTCATGTTTTGGGTCGAGGAGATCAAAGCGGCTCTCGTTGTAGATCTCCAGGTAGGACACATGTACTGTGAAAGACAGCTCCGGGCTCTGGACAACACACAGTCAGACATAAGTCAGACAACAAGTGGATAATAAGGTTGTGCCAATGCTATTACACACACAACAAGATACCTGAGCCTCCTTCCACAAAGCACTAAGGTGATCGTAAGTCACTAAGGTAACCTTAGTGCAATGTTAAAGAAAGGGAGTTAAGGTTAACCTTAGTAAAGGTTGCTTCGTGAAAGGAGCCCCAGCACATCGTATGTTACAATTCATACACCAAGTACACATTCTCCCATACATGGTTGTGTCTCATTTTGTACCATTATATAACATCACAACATACATCAGATATATGCATTATAGATACGTATGCAAAACTTTAAATCCACATTTCCATAAATTTCACAGCCCAGTGTGCAATATTTAAGGCATTATGGTCAGGTGGTTCTAGTCATAATCTTAATTATTCAAGATATAGGGGTCCCTGGAGTCAAATACCATAGCAGCAAACTGCCCCGAGCTGCTCTATACAATATCAGGCGAAAAGCAGATACTGTATATTACCGTCAATAACTTATAAGCCAAATTTTAGGGCCAAAAAAAAGCTGTAGAGGGGGGGTCGGCTTATCTATAAGTTGCACTTTGGTCAAACTTTTTCTCTGGCGACATTGTATCGCTTCATGTGAACGAACAAGAGAAAACGACTTTGTCAGTGAAGCATCAAATTTGCAAATAAACCTCACTAGACAAGATTATTTACCTTTTCAATTCTAATTTGTTTTTGCTGGGCATTGTATTATATGCAGGGATTAAGATTACCGTGTGTATTTGTCTCGTAAACAGATCCGGAAATAGGAATCAGCTGTGCACACGTTTCCCTGCGATCTACCAGTGATTTAGTTAAAACATACCCAATGATACAAGATGAATTCTGATGCAGTAATTGGAAAACTATAGTATCTGAAACTAATATTTTACCATGAGAAATATATTCTAGCATTGTGTCATTTTAATTGCAGGTTTTGCTCAATAAATGTAAAATATTTACACTCATAGCTAATGTTATGTGACTGGTGTATTGCCAGATAGTTTTTATGCATGGAACAACATGGTAAGTAATCGAAGAGAACATAAAATCATAACATGAGGAAACATGATCAACTTGAAATATGAAGTAAAATTTGTCCTACTGACTTGGGCAACAGTGAAGCGCTAAGTGAGAGAGGACAAGTGACTCAGACACTGAGAGGGACAGTAAGGGACTGAACTATGGAATGAGACACTGAGTGAGACAGGACAAGTGACTCAGACACTGAGAGAGACAGTAAAGGACTCAACCATGGAATGAGACACTGAGTGAGACAGGACAAGTGACTCAGACACTGAGAGAGACAGTAAGGGACTGAACCATGGAATGAGACACTGAGTGAGAGAGGACAAGTGACTCAGACACTGAGAGAGACAGTAAGGGACTGAACCATGGAATGAGACACTGAGTGAGAGAGGACAAGTGACTCAGACACTGAGAGAGACAGTAAGGGACTGAACCATGGAATGAGACACTGAGTGAGAGAGGACAAGTGACTCAGACACTGAGAGAGACAGTAAGGGACTGAACCATGGAATGAGACACTGAGTGAGAGAGGACAAGTGACTCAGACACTGAGAGAGACAGTAAGGGACTGAACTATGGAATGAGACACTGAGTGAGACAGGACAAGTCTCAGACACTGAGAGAGACAGTAAGGGACTGAACCATGGAATGAGACACTGAGTGAGACAGGACAAGTGACTCAGACACTGAGAGAGGGACAGTAAGGGACTGAACCATGGAATGAGACACTGAGTGAGAGAGGACAAGTGATTCAGACACTGAGAGAGACAGTAAGGGACTGAACTATGGAATGAGACACTGAGTGAGAGAGGACAAGTGATTCAGACACTGAGAGAGACAGTAAGGGACTGAACCATGGAATGAGACACTGAGTGAGAGAGGACAAGTGACTCAGACACTGAGAGAGACAGTAAGGACTGAACCATGGAATGAGACACTGAATGAGAGAGGACAAGTGACTCAGACACTGAGAGAGACAGTAAGGGACTGAACCATGGAATGAGACACTGAGTGAGAGAGGACAAGTGACTCAGACACTGAGAGAGACAGTAAGGGACTGAACCATGGAATGAGACACTGAGTGAGACAGGACAAGTGACTCAGACACTGAGAGGGACAGTAAGGGACTGAACCATGGAATGAGACACTGAGTGAGACAGGACAAGTGACTCAGACACTGAGAGGGACAGTAAGGGACTGAACCATGGAATGAGACACTGAGGAAAGGTCGCGGGTTCGATCCCCGACCGCGTCATACCAAAAGACGTTAACATATGGTACTTGTTGGTCCCTGCCTGGCGGTCGGCATTTATGGGTACAACAAGGACTGGTCGGCTCAGAGTCAGTATAATGTGTCTGAGTGGGGTATTCATGCTTCACTGCGGCATGGTATCTCAGTGGGCTAGCACTATAAAACCAGCTTAAGTCTGGGCTAGTACAAGCAGCTGCACATACACATACACACGCATGCACGTCGTCATACGAGTGAAATATTCTCAAGCACGACATAAAACCCAATTTCACCTCACCTCACTTTAGGAGACAGCAGTGAGATGCAGATTGAGACTTCTAGTGACTGTGCGCAAAATCATATCTGACTTTAATCTCAACCAGTGACAATACTGGCATTTCCCACTTCAATATTGACAAATGTGACATATGTTTACAAAGGACAGCAGGGATAATAGATAATGTGCCATAGAGAAGAAACTATTACCTTCTCAATTTTATCATAGATGTATGAGAGAGTTCTGGGGATGATGCCCCTGTCAATGTACCTCTCTGCCCCTCCTGTGATGGTGAAAGTCTTACCACTGCCAGTCTGGAATATAGTGATCAAGTCAGAATGTCATTATTATTACAACTAGAACAAAAATCCAAGGCAACATGAACCACTATTGTGTTGCAACAATTACTGGTAATACTGTAACATATGTTATATGTTTTTCTCAGTAAAGCACAAATTCTAGTAGATCAGGGTTGAGTGCCATCTGGGATTCGAACCTACCCTCTCAGATTAACTTAATCGCCAGCACACAATCAACAATCTAACCCACTCAGCCACCACAACTTCCACAAAAATGGAAGTCACCCAACTGGTTGTCTAGATCATGTAGCTTGTGTACTGCTCTGATAAGTGTAACTAATACTGATTAAGATGTTAACCTACATACATAATCTTATTCAACATTGTAGTAATTCAACATAATGAAAGAACAAACACAGTAATTATACATGTTTGTGTTACTTTTGAGAATGGTCATGCTTTCCCTTTCAATTATAATTATTTTACTATTAAAACCCCATCCAAACAAAAGACAACATTAACAGCGAGTAATAATATCATTTTGATGATTACAAGCACATATGTACGAGGTGAGGTCAAAAAGTTTCGAGAACTTCTTGTATCAGTAGGTTATCTCCCTTCCAGTTATCACAATATTAATACTGTTTGTTGCAAGGTGTTGAAACTTTCACAGGTATCTCATGAAAGATCAATGTATGCTATACTACTAGCGGCATAGCTGTTTCACAACTTTAGGTAGTGAGTTCTCAAAACTTTTTTACCTCCCTTTGTAATTCAGGTTTTACATCAGGATCATTCTGGTGAAGAAATAAAGAACTAACCTATTGAACGCATTCAACAAAAGGAATTGTTCAAGTAATTGCTGTATTACATTCTAAGATGCTTCGGTAAAAAATCAAAGGCGCCGACAGTACTTCATCAGTGCTTTAACTATAATAGTTCAGGGCGAAAGTGTGCTTTATTACACTATAAATGGTGGTAAAGCAAACTGTATTTCTTAAGTAATATTCGTTTTTGTGTAGTTTCAGACATGTTCAATGACATAACAAAGATAACTAGTCTAGCTGTATAGAGTTAACTAGGGATTTACCTGGATTGTATATTTTGGGAATACAGGTGACTCGAAGCTAAGATAATTAAATGAGGGCGCCAGATGACAAACTGGTGATATCGGAGTTTGTTATTTGTTATTTAATGAGATACTAAGCAATATTCCAGCAATATAGTGGTGGTCTGTAATAACTGAATCTGGAGCAGACAATCTAGTGATTGATATCATGAGCATCGATCTATGAAGTTGGGATAAGATGACATGTGTCAAACAAGTCAGAGGGTCTGACCACCCAAACCTGTTGGTTGCCTCTAACAACAAGCATGTGCTTTGGAATATCAATTATAACCCCGATGTTCAAAGGTTGGGGATCCCAGAGAAATGTCTAGACATGAATACAGTACTCCATAACAAGTAATGAAATACTGCACATGCTGAGACCCGTGAAGATCCGGGTTAGAATGAACCTTCAGTAACCCATGCTTGTCGTAAGAGGCGACTAACGGGATCAGGTGGTCAGGCTCACTGACTGGGTTGACACCTGTCATCAGGGCACAATTGCGCAGATCGATGCTCATGCTGTTGATCACTGGTTTGTCTGGTCCAGACTCGATTATTTACAGACTGCCGCCACATAGCTGGAATATTGCTGAGTGCGACGTAAAACTGAACTCACTCACTGCACATGCTGAGAGGATGTTAGTTATAAATATGGAGTTAACCACATGAAACAAATCTACAAGTGCTGGCACTAGGAGATCATTACACTTTCCGATGCTCATGCTGTTGATCACTGGATAGTCTGGTCCAGACTCAATTATTTTCAGTCCGCAGCCATATCGCTGGAATGCTGCTGAGTGTGGTGTTAAACAACAACCAACCAACCATTACACTTTCAACTATTCATTGTATCTTTTACACATATATGTATGGAAAGATTTTAAGTGAGACCATCTTATAAAACATATCAGCACTAATTCAAAAACATGCTGAAAAAGAATTCTGTGTCCCAGTGGATGTAGTCTGTGTTTCATTTGTATTCATTTTGAATTTTTATACATTTAGGATGCAGAACCAAGCAACTCCCAGGACAAACATCACATAAAAACAGACAAGTCGAAATACATGTTCTAATTTCAACATATGTGATGGAACAGACTCACAAAGAAATAAAAGTTAATGATGGTCAAAAAATGTTTTAGCATAATTGTAATCTGCAAACATAATAGTCCCAACATCTGTCAAAACTGAATATTTCTTTCTATTCAGAAAAAATGAACCTGTTTAAATGACTGTGAAGTCCAGCATCGTTTAACAACTTCTTTGACTATACCTGTCTTAATCACTGAAGGGCATTTCAGAAAAAAACACTTCACATATAAAGTCAAGTCTTAGGCTAAGTATAAATAAATTTATCCAACACTTAGAATACATTGAAAACGTGATTTCAGTAAAACTCGAACATCAAAATAATTAGAGTTTGAGACAAAATATATTTAATTACAGTTTAAAGTTATTTAAACTTGTGTTTTGTGGTGTGGGGCGATCACACTCTCCTTCATTTCTACCTCGCTGTGTAAATGACAACGAACCTAACACAACTGTGAGGGGTGACAGTCGCTACCTTGTAATAATATTGACACAAGCTAGGTTTACCTGCCAGCACACCTGTAACGAGATATTGTGCAGTCTTCAACAACACCTACCTGTCCGTACGCAAATATTGTGCCATTGTAGCCTTGTAACACACTGAAAGATACAATAAAAGATTCACTTGTAATATAGATGATAAATGGACAAGAAATATTGTCAAAAAGTCATATTTTCATCATGTAGCAAGGATTTAAAAGATGCCAAAGGGACTGTATAGAAAGGAAATGGGAAAGACATGAATAAACAACTGTGTAAAATGTAATCTACACATGCTCAGGATTAACCCAAATATGCATCAAATTGTGGTTGCCTGCCAAACCAAACCACATAGTTTTGTGGTTATTTGAACTCACTAAAAACTTAGTTCCTTTGAATTACTTAACAAAATTTGAGTTTTTTCTCACCCTTAAAATGACATGTCAAGTAAACATTAACACATGTTAAATAATAAAAGCATATCACATTATGCATAACAACTTCATGTTGATGCATAACAAATATTAACACATGTTAAATAATAAAAGCATATCACATTATGATTTTGTTTATTAGTTTATTGATATTCATGTTAAATAATAAAAGCATATCACATTATGCATAACAACTTCTTGTTTATTTCGTAGTTTATTGATATTTCAAGTAAACATTAACACATGTTAAATAATAAAAGCATATCACATTATGCATAACAACTTCTTGTTGATTACGTAGTTTATTGATATGTCAAGTAAACATTAACACATGTTAAATAATAAAAGCATATCACATTATGCATAACAACTTCTTGTTTATTGCGTAGTTTATTGATATGTCAAGTAAACATTAACACATGTTAAATAATAAAAGCATATCACATTATGCATAACAACTTCTTGTTTATTGCTACGTAGTTTATTGATGTTTCAGTGTAGATTCTAACACCATTTTCAAGCCAAAAACAGGTATAGCTCTGAATTTACTGATACAATTTAAATATTGAGTCATATGATGCAATGCTCAATGGGGGAGGCAAGTATGAAGAGATGTAGCCAGTAGTTCCTACAACTTTGCTATCTTGTTTTATTTATCATAATAGGAACAACGTTCATGAAAGATATCAGTGCGATCACGGTCATATGTCCATGTAAATGTATGGGCTTTATGATCATCTTAGCCCAAGGATCACTTCAAATTTTGGCCTTCCTGTTTAGAAAAATATTCAAAACTTGTGGGTGTGACAACACGATTTGGTTCTCCAACAACCAGCTCATCTACAATTAGTAATCTATGACTATTTCTTGACTTATTGATTTGACTAACCACACAGGCCTATAGTTTTTGTTTGTTGTTTAACACTCATATCATCCTGTTAACAACTCATATAATTATGTTAACGACTCATATCATCATGTTAACAACTCATATCATCCTGTTAACAATTTTAATGTTATCCTGTTAACAACTCATATCATCCTGTTAACAACTTATATAATTATGTTAATGACTCATATCATCATGTTAACAACTTATACAATTATGTTAACGACTCATCATTATGTTAACAACTCATATCATCCTGTTAACAACTCATATAATTATGTTAACGACTCATATCATCATGTTAACAACTCATATCATCCTGTTAACAACTTATATAATTATGTTAACGACTCATATAATCCTGTTAACAACTCATATCATCCTGTTAACAACTTATATAATTATGTTAATGACTCATATCATCATGTTAACAACTCATATCATCCTGTTAACAACTTATATAATTATGTTAATCCTGACAACTCCTTATAATTATGTTAACTAACTCATCATGTTAACAACTTATATAATTATTATGTTTAACAACTCATATCATCCTGTTAACAACTTATATAATTATGTTAACGACTCATATAATCCTGTTAACAACTCATATCATCCTGTTAACAACTTATATAATTATGTTAATGACTCATATCATCATGTTAACAACTTATACAATTATGTTAACGACTCATCATTATGTTAACAACTCATATCATCCTGTTAACTTATATAATTATGTTAATGACTCATATCATCATGTTAACAACTTATACAATTATATTAACGACTCATCATTATGTTAACAACTCATATCATCTGTTAACAACTCATATAATTATGTTAACGACTCATATCATCATGTTAACAACTCATATCATCCTGTTAACAACTCATATAATTATGTTAATGACTCATATCATCCTGTTAACAACTCATATAATTATATAAGTTATCACATCGTGTCGAGGGAAATACGGGGTTTTATCAGTCCCGAGTCCCGACTAATCAAGAGTGAAGATTTAATTTCACATACTTCCAACAGCAGATTTCCCAATTATCAGCAATAATTTCTTCTTGTTGTTTCTTTTTGGCGAAAATTAGCAGCGACTACGATAAAATCGTATAGGTATGCATCTCTGTGTAAAGCACAGATTCTAGTACTTTTGTTGGGTGGAGTCCCATCTGGGATTCAAACCCACACCCTCAGCATCAGGCACCTAATCACCAGCACACTCAGCCACTGTGGCTTCCACAAAAATGGATGTCAGACAACTGGTGATCTGCCTGACTCTGAGGGTGTGGATTCGAATCCCAGATGGGACACAATCTTAAACAGGGGGAGTGTATTATAATGAAGGATAAATGAAAATGAAAAAGTATAAGATATTTGATAAATTTTCATGGTAGTACTTTATCAAGTCAGGATGAATTGCAGTATTATAGTTTATTATTTCAGCTCTGAAACCATGTCAACAACAGCAATAGATATTGCATTGTAAGAAACTTGTGTTGTGTTATACTTATACTGTACAAGTGTTTCTTCAAAAGCAGGTGACCCGTGAAGGTCCGGGTTAGAATGAGCCTTCAGTAACCCATGCTTATCGTAAGAGGCGACTAACGGGATCGGGTGGTCAGGCTTGCTGGCTTGGTTGACACATGTCATCGTTTCCCAATTGCGCAGATCGATGCTCATGCTGTTGATCACATGATTGTCTGGTCCAGACTCGATTATTTACAGACCGCCACCATATAGCTGGAATATTGCTGAGTGTGGCGTAAAACTCAACTCCCTCACTCACTCAAAAGCAGGTTTGTTTTCAAGATATTCTAAATCTTACATCTTGAGACAGTCCCTCAAAATAGATAACATGATTGAGACAGTTCGGTCAAATGACGCATCAACTATAAAAGGCACTAAACAATAACATAATTATGAAAATATTCACTCTCGGAAGTTACAATGTTGACAGAAACCAACAGAACAAACTGGTGTCAAAACAATGCCTTTAAGTGCTGATGTTTGGCAGTCAGGGTTACAGATGTGAATCCCTGTGAAGGAATATCTCGGGACAGTTTACAAGCCGAGGTGTCAATAACAAGATATCACACGTATTTACAACTGTGTGATAAACAGGTGGATGTTTACACACCACACACACTGATGGATAGGTTAACACATTTACAGGACTAGTTCAACATGATCAGTTGATACTGGTCATTTGCACATTTATTTAGAGTTATCTTGACCACTGGGCAAGGCGTGTGGAAAATGAAGGGATTTTCTTTGATGTACATCTACATTTTTTGTGGAGAGATGTGTAATCCTGATGTGATAGTGGGAGAAAGGGTAGTTTTACATCAGTTCTGGCAATGTCACATATCAAGATGGGGAAACACAAGAAACGGGTTTTACACATTGTATTTGTGTAGGGAACTGAACCATGGCCTTGGATATGGTGCTGGGTGGTTAGTTTGTTTGCTGTTTAATGCTACACTCAGCAATGACATGTGTCAACTAAGTCAGCGAGTCTGACCATCTGATCCCGGTTAGTCGCCTTTTACGACAAGCATGGGTTTCCTGAAGACCAATTCTAGCCTGGATCTCCGACTGGATCTTGGATACAGCGAGTAATTGCTTTAATCACTATGCTAACCAAACACAAAGGCTAGATCCCAGGAGTGCAATGTAAGGTAATATGGCTCCCTGTCACTGCTTCAGTATGTAATGAAAGATGACTCATCACTTCAACTAAGTGCATTAAATGAAGCAATAAAAATGATATTCCCTTTTTCCAAATAGAGGACAAAATATAGAAGACATACAAATGTATTAATGAAGAGAATCAGTGCACATACTCTCACACTTGACATGTTCATATGATTCAGCAGACATTTATTTTTTGTTTATTAAAAAAGCTACAGATCTTTTCCAGGGAACTAAGCAGTCCATTATGCAACTGTTTACATTAAACACCTGTATTTATTGTATCAATCTGGAGTGGTGTAGTGTTTCAACAAGGATTCCAAAATATGTGCACTTTGCAAAATGGGGAAAATCAATTCCTTCAAATTTTTAAATTTTTTACATTTTTGTTTTCCAAACTTTAAAGGATTTTTACACTGTAACTTAATTCTACATTCAACGTCATAATGTTAAATGAAACATTTAAGCCTCTTCATCTATATACAGTAAACTAATGTTATAACCAACTCAAAGGGAAGACTAATTTTAGTTTGTTATAACAATAGTTCATAATAAACATTTTGAATAAACTATACAGCAAGTGGACAGGCAAAAATAAATAGTTCATTTTTACATGAGTTTGTTGTATGCATGTTCATTGTAAACTTAGTTTTTTGTACGTCCCTATCAACAGCTAAAAGCAGGGGTGGAAATAACTTTAAAATTGCAAGTGTACTCCGGTACAAGTGGCACATGTAAAATCACTTGCCCTGATAATTTTTCCACTATACCGGCTATTTTCTTGTTGATTTTTTAAATAAACAACATAATTAACATTGGAATATCAACTTGACACCGGTACAGTGTGATATACAAATTTGCTTGCCCGACAGAAAAAAACACTGGACTCGGGCGTCGGGCAATGGGTTATTTCCACCCCTGAAAAGGGATATTTCGTTACTGTTGCATTGTGGTAATCAATCCTTTGTTTGGATAGAAACTTACTTGTCAATAACTGGTTTGGCCACATGTTCAAAAACTTCATCTTGTGTAGTCTTCTGATCGAAAACCCGCTCAAAACTGAAAACATGACACAGAAAACAAGGATATAGAAAGTATTGATACAGAACATTTTGCCAATGTTGAAACAAGTTGAAATTGATGGCATATGTGTTGTCATTTATATATTAGGGCAAACTACTCTAGTAGCAAATAACAATGAGTCAATCACCACTTAGCAATCTAAATATCATTATAAATTTTCTATTTGTCTCAAACGTGTATCCACCTTCATCAACACAAAAAAGAGACTATAAGAAAATCAGGTTAGTTGACTAATATGTTTAATGTTCACTATGTCCACTGGAAAACATTAAGTTGATGAAAAATTTCAGAGATTCAAATAATCAATCCCAACCTGGTAAGTATAATTTCAATATTCTAAGAAATAATTTCAATACTACTGGACAAAGATATTTTGCATACTGTGGCACTCCACTGTGGATTTTGTTTTGCTTTCAAAAACTCCCATTCTCTTTCTGTTAGCAAGGCTAACTTTAAAACTCATTAGACTAATTCCACATTTCCAGCAATTCAAAGTTGTGATTTTATGAGTCTGTGACATTTTTAAAGACCCATGGATAAAGATTGACTGTAACTATGGTTACTGACCGAAACTTATAATGTTCCCTCTTGTTGTTGATGAAACCCTCTGCTAATTCCTTGGGTACAGTAACCGTCAGTCTTGGACATCCTTCATCATCATCATCAACGTCATAACGCTGTCGTAGAGAAAATGCATTTTCATTATCACATAGCTTAACTCTATAGTGAACAAAATACATGAAAAGACAAGGTAAACCAATATTAATAATTTGTGAACTTTGTACTCCAGGTAATTATGACCGGTCATTTAGTCATTTTTATCGGCTTTGAATTTGGTGATTTCGTTTTGTCAAAGGGCGGTGGGGTAGCCTAGTGGTTAAAGCATTTGCCCATCATGCCAAAGACCGGGTTTGATTCCCCATGGGTACAACACGTGAAGCCAATTTCTGGTGTTCCCTACCCTGATATTCCTGAAATATCGCTAAAAAGCGGTGTAAAACTAAACTCACTTGTTTGTCAAAATGGATTAGTTTAGTCATAATCATGATAATTGTCTGATCCCTCAAAAACACCTTTACTTATATAATGTTATATTTCCATTCAATGTAACTATTGGATTTGTTTACTAATGAAGATCTTGGTTAGAATCGGTTCTCAGAAACCAATGCTTGTCATAAGAGGCAAAAATGGGATCACATGGTCAGGATCACTGATATGTTTGATGCATGTCATCCTATCCCAACTGTGTATATCAGTGCTCCATAATATCAATCACCAGACTGTCTGGTCCAGATTTGATTACTTACATATTGCCTCAAACATCTGGAATATTGCTGAAGGGAGCATTAAACAAAGAAACAAACATAAAGTGTAACATTCTTTATCAATATTTCAATTAGCAACTTGATAGATATGAGTGTATAATGTCCCTATCATTTTGGTAAAACAAGAAAGGTTTTGGAACAAAAACTAAAGCTTACCTACCTACCCACAACAACCAAGATCTGACACTGGATATAGGGTACTGGCAAACCAACATGTTTAAAGGGCGGACTGGAGTACAATTAACAAAGAATCTTTCAATATCTCCAGTTATTTTTTGTCCATTATTGTAACAGTATCAACAGGTTTTATTTGTCAATGCCCTTTCTCCATGAGGAGATACTGTGTTTGCATGTTTTTTTATAGATGCACCAACCCTAAACCCATGCTCAGAAAACTTTGAAAACATCCGGAAGAATATCTAACTGAAATCAAGACTAGGCTCATAAATAGTGGCCATTTATAAAGCGCCTGTTTCCACACACTTGTGCATGCTCAAAGTGCTAACAAATTATTACCCCGGATAACCCAAGCTGCCTGTTAGGCACTAGAAGGTTATAGTCACATGACTTGTCCCATCGGGTACCCACTTTTCTGCTGGGTGAACAGAGGCAATTTTGAATAACCTCACTTGCCTAAGGTGAGACCACATGTATCACATGTGCTTCGTTGTGGGGCAGGACTGAAGTCCAAGAAACTCTCAAGAGTCAATCTGCCAAAAACGGTCACCCATCCAAGAACTCTCTGCGCTTAACCATTAACGTTGCTTAACTTCACCTGATTGTGACCTGAGCTCTACACACAAGACCACACACCACCACTGATGACAATGTTTTAACAAATATACATGAGTGGCACAAACAGGGACTCCAGGCGAGGACTGATGCCCAAACAGGATAATTTTTAATCGAAACATGTGATCAAACACTGCAATCTACACTACAATTCTATATTACTGTTGTATTGTGGAAGAAATTGTGAACAGGACAACAATTAATTATTACTCAGATCTAAAACCCTTGAATAAATTAACCTGTACCCATGTACACCTGTCTAAATAAGCTTTCAAAACAGAAGAAATATAACTCTTTTTTTCCCAATTGCATGCTAAAGTATATGTCACACATCAACACAATGATCATGCATCACTGAACAGATGGCACTTTGTTTTCATCAATTAATGTGACCTGACTAATTGCAGGGCTGGGAGGTGTGACAAGGAGGCTGTGTTTTGTTAGCAATTAACCAGAATACACTTGATAATTGCATCAAGTTTCTGATGGCTACTCAATGTGTACCTTGCTGCTGTTATAGACCTATGACATCATAATGATGGGGAAGCATAGTGGTTAAAGAGTTTGCTCGTCACGCTGAAGACCTGGGTTTGATTCCCTATATGTGTGAAGCCCAATTCTGGGGCCCCCCACCATGCTGGAATATTGCTAAAATCTGCAGATTTCTTTTGAAAGTTTTGAATTTCTGCAATACTGACTGACTTTATTTTGAACATATTCCAGCAATTTTTGAGATTGATGTAAATCTGCAATAAAAGACCCCGGCTAAATTTTCAGTGTTTTTGTGCTTTGCCATTCTCACATCTGTTTATCTTATTTTACCGTGTCAGAAATATTTCAGTAATAACATAACAGGTCTTTGAATGGCATTTGGAAGTGATATATATAAAAGGTAAAAAAATGATGGATGTTAACTTCTTTGTTTAACTCAGATTTTTAAAGTAAAATCTTTCTCCTTTGTCAGGTAAATGTCCAAAACATTCTTCATAAAATTTAAGTTGACATCTATAAATGTTCTTGATCGTTTATACAATGGCAGCCTGTAAATAATTCCAAATAGGCACCAAGCAAACAGGTGATAAAGCAGATGCAACAACCCACACTATTTACCAACTGACAGATGCTGATTACTGTAGATCTATACCCCTAGCTTCAGTCAGCTCTTGCTAGACATGACCATATCTTGAATGTAGGACCTCATTGCACCCCTCTAATTCTCTACAAATATGGGATATCCGGGACAAATCACAAAGTGTAAGATCTAAATTGTTAAAATACATATTTTAATTTCCAATTATTATAAAAGGCAAATTTTGTCTTTTGAAAGTTGTATGTTTGTGTAAGATTCTTATGTAAAATTGCAACATAAATTAGAAATGACACGATAAGTAAAAGTAAATAAAAACACCTGTCTTGGGACAATGCCTAGTCATACCAATATGGATCACAGCCCATCTACCTGACAAAGTTTTCGTTATACAAGTTTATCAATGGTTAGCAACTTCACATATCCCGAATACCGGACATATTTCACTCTAGAACGTTACACTTACCCCGGTTTTAGCTTTTGTCGGCTTTATTCGACCAAAAATCTGGATTGTTTGCTTCACCATCTTCGAGCAGTTGCTGTCATCTCCCGAAATCACAAAATACTTGTCCTAGTTAAGCTATACGCGAGCCAGAAATATCATTTTCACCCTTGTTGTCTAGGAATGTTTACATCGCCTTCCTCCATGATGCCAAGCACTTGCAGTGCAGGGCAAAATTTCTCCACCCTTTTGATTGGTTGAAATGTTGGGGCTATTTTTAGCTTGCCGGTGCTCCACAAGCGTGACTCCTGCGAGTTGGGCTCAGTGGTTTGACAGTCGTTATAAGGGATATACCACGGTTGGATAAGGCTTTGATGTAGCTGCGTTGTTTGTTATACGGTAAGAAATGACAGTTTATTTGAATTTTATGTATTTTTATCTCTACCACATGTTCTTAATTGAGAATATTTTATTTCCTTTAAAACGTAATTCAAAATTATAAATATTGCACGACATAACATTAACATAAACAAGTTTATTGAATGACAGATCAGGATGCTGTCTTCGACACCTGCTTTCGAAAATGGTAAAAATATTCAACATCTTTTAATAGAATTATATATATTGGATGATATTTAACGAGGTAAAGAAAAGTAAACAGTATGATCTGTCATGTATCTAGTACAACAGTGTGGTCTTGCCGGCAGACTATTGTTATGATAAGCTTTGTGTGAGCCATGGTTAGTTTTATTGACAATCGCAGGCTCCGCACGCCTACTTTTCATCCTCGGATAAAACATTAGCTGGTTTGCTTGGGGGCACATGCTCTTAGGTATATAGCAAGAGCCACAGAAATAGTAGAAAAGCGTGTCTCTCAAATGCTGGCACGTTTATTTGGACGTGGGATTTAATATGCGATGTGTCGTCTGATCTCAGCCGTGGCGTAACACGATCAGTGAACGGATGCACGTGCAGGTTTACTCAAGCGTGACACCAGCCCGGATCGATCATATTTTATTGCCTTAATTGTTCAGGTAAACAATGCACTTATATTTGCTGGTTCACGACAAAGAGTGTCGAATTTTGGACGCGTAGAGTTTCTGGTTTCTGTCCAATAGACCCGTGATGATTCTGAACTCGTTTTTTTCCTGCAGCTGTTCTGGAGAAAGATGCTTATGAATGCACGTACGGTTATTGTGGGATTGTATCTCTCCCAAGTAAATATTCTGGGGGAACTTGTCATCTCATCATCATGCCAGAGGATACTCCAGCGTTTCCGAGCATTATTAATGAGATGTAGTCTGATGGTAAAGATCAGAGATGAACAGACATCCATCCATGCACAAAGTGCCACTGTATATTTAGTTGTACTACACGACCTCATAAGATAATTAACAAAGACTCTGTTGCGTACTGCAATTATATGTTTCTTTTTAAATAAACACAGATAGTTCTTCTTTTATTTCTAATGCATTAGATAAATATAAAAAGTTAAAATTCTGATGTTATATTCCACTTACTTGGGTTATAAACATTTTGAGTTACACTACAGTTTTATCAACAAAAAACACCCAAACAGCCAAATTTCATGATGTAAATTAATGTGATATCAAAGTTATTAAAACATCAAACAGTATAACATGATTATATGTATCATTTTATATAAACCCAACAAGATCTTGTTTCATTTCTAATGCATTAGATAAATATAAACAGTTAAAATTCTGGTTTATATTTTACATATTTGTGTAACAGACATATTTCAATTATACTACTACAGTTATGAAAAAAGAACCCACTCACAGCCAAACTTCATGATGTAAGATAACGTGATATCATGGTTGAAATGAAATGGAAAAAACCAAGTCCCTGTCTACAGCTGTATACAGCCTCATAGCATTGCTCCAAGGCTGTACTGAAGGCTAAGCCCATGGATGCATAGTATTTCTATCCTTTAAAAGGCTAGATAAACGGGCAATGTAAAGATGCCACTCTGTTATTTATATTTGTTTAGATATTTTCATTTAAACTATTAATTATTACCTCAGAGACTTGTGCAAGTCTAACAGCCTCACAGACAGCAGTATTCTTGAGCAGTTCCAAAGTTTTCTTGACATGGTATTTGGACATATCTGTAGAGAGTGTTTTTAAATAACAGCTCCGGAACATATATGGTTACACAGGCGTCTACTCATTTACACTAGGATGTAGCACACAGCTTGAATGACTGGTGTGCCTCTGGGTGACAGTTTGTGTGTGTGTACTTAGCTCATGCCAAAGACCCACAATGTTACAGGAACATTCTACTCGTCATCGTGCCTGTTTCGCGCCTTGGATACAATGGCATATACTAAATACAGATATTTTTTAGTGCTTAGTAAAAGTTTATTTTCCATTTTCTTGTCAAAACCGTAAGTAAGTTGAAAGGCTTCTTAAGTATTTGACAAATAACCTTCATTAAGTAAAACATGTTGTAACGTTTTGAGCAAAATGTAATGAATACATGACCTATTTTCCAAAACTTTCATGACCTGGATTAATTTGGTAATAATTCACTTGTTACAAACGTTTTTTTTACTTAAAAGTGTTTTTGGCTTTTAAAAAGCATTACTAACAAGAGAGAAAAATTATTATAACTAATGTTTAATGCTATGTTTTAACCTCTTTCTTTTGCTTAATGAAGTGGTCCAAAGGGTACTATTTATGAAGGAAAAATGTCATTCGATAATCTTCTTATTTGAAAATTCCGCAAATTGATGTTTGTGTTTTTGTTGAAAATAGACACAATTATATATTTCATTTGTTAATTAGGTGAATAATAAGTGGTAAATTAAGAAATTGTACCATGATGATTTCAAGAAAGGACTTTTAAAGGAAAATTGTCACTTTGACATGAATTCCAGGTGCACACAATGGAACGTCAAGGCCACATATCTTAATGTTCATTGTTAAAAAAACCCACGGAATTCCCTATCTTGAAGTCCAACTATGATATCAGCGAATATGTTGTTTAATGTTTGATAATATAAACCATTAAGCAAATTTATTATTTTCTGTAAATTTTCTGTCAAAAGAAGCAAAACATATTCTCATTTCTTCTAATGTCAGAGCATTCTTCTTGTGTATTCTTCTTGGTGTTGCGTCATTAGTTTGGTTTCACATTTCACAAAACACACTGACAAAATCCTTCAACAAATGTTGTGTTTTCAACAAAACCCATGCCTCTCACTCACATTTGCAGAGCGTATGTTACACTCCTTTGATTTCTGAAATACATGACAAGCATTTGAATCATTCCGGTACCCAAATGTGATCCGGTGTTGATATTACATAAACCAGGTTTTGTCGAGCATCCAGATGTGTGAATTTGTAAATAACAGTGATTTTTCTTTAGGTTGTGAGTCAGCTGAAAGTCAGCTGTTTTGGCTAGACCTACAATCCATGCACCACTGTAAATTTACATTGATGTCAGGCCAATACTGGAGTCTCCCAGTTAAGTCGTAAGACCGAAGGGCAAATAGTAAGAATCTAACTTGTTTGTGGCTTCAAGAACTGTACATGTACTTGAAATTAGAGTGAGATTACGTTTGTAGTCTTTTTAAAGAAACCTGCATCATTTCTTTAGGAATAGTTTCAACAGCACAGAGAAATTGAGTTGGTAATGAAAGTGTTTGTGATAGCATTTGTCTACTGACCTTCATTTGCATCTGTTTTCAATCAACTTAAATACTTTAATAGTAGAAAAAAGTTCCATTTACCCAAAATTATTAATGCCAAAAAATGTGCAATTCAATTCAATCCCTATCAGTTTGATTTTAAGCAAAAGTATGACTTTTTCATATATCCTCAACTTACATGGATGATTTACACCTGAAGGTACTCATTGGAATTGGTCTTCAGCAACCCATGCTTGTTTTAAGAGGCAACTGCATGTTGTAATATGCTTTTAACAGGATCTAGTGGCTTGGTTGATGCAGATCATGGTATCCCAAATGTGTAAATCAGTGTGTTCATGATTTCCACCACTGGTTTGACTGGTCCAGTCTTGATCTCTGTTATATAGCTGGAATATTTCTGAATGCGGCATTTATACAACAGAAAAGTAACCAAAACCAAATGTAAATGACTTCTTCATCTTAGACTCTGATTTACATTGATACATTTTAAACAGGTGTTTCACTGCAAGTGAAGCTTACAATTATGTTTTTCACAATCCTATGTAATCAAATGTCACTTTTCAATAGAACTAGGTCAGCGTAAAATACAGGCATTGTGAATGACCCAGTAGAAAAGTAATATAATCTTTGAAATTTTTACATTTTCCATTTGTGTAGTGAAATCAAGAGGTGTAATCTACAATACATACTTAGTAAGCAGTCAGCTAGGGGAGACAGGGAACAAGAGCTCATCTCAGGTGTAGCAGTGACAATAGGCCACCAGTGTGTGTTTGTTTAGGGATGAACAGCTAGTCCTCAGTATGCAGGTAGTTCTTAAAGGGCCTGATGACACACACAGTACTATGGGTGTGGTGGGGTAGCCAAGTGGTTAAAGCGTTCACTCGTCACGCCAAAGGCCCGGGTTTGATTCCTCACATGGGTACAATGTGTGAAGCCCATTTCTGGTGTCCCCTGCCGTGATATTGCTGGAATATTGCTAAAACCACTCACTCACTCATGCTATCCTACCATATCCATGTGGTGGCACGTGGTCCTGTGCATAGAGCTCAGGTCACAAATCAGGGGAAGTTAAGCAACAGTGGATGCAGAGAGTCCTCGGATGGGTGACCATGTTTGGCAGCTTGATTCCTGAGAGTATCTAGGACTTAGTCCTGCCCCACAACGAACCACATGTGATACATGTGGTCTCTGACCTTAGGCAAGTGAGTTCATTCAAAATTGCCTCTGTTCACCCAGCAGAAAATGGGTACCTGGTGGGATAAAGTTATGTGACTATAACCTTATAGCGTCTAACAGGCAGCTTGGGTTATCCGGGGTAATAATAATCAGATTGTTTGGAGGCTTCGAGCATGCATTGTGCATGGAGACATGCGCTTAATAAATGGACTGTTATTGTTGTTATGTTACTATATCCATATTTCCAATCAGTAACTTAGCACAGATTTACTCTTGCTCATGATGTCAGATACTGGGTTTTCTGGTCAAGATCCAATTACTAACATCTAAACCTGTGTGAAGATCTGGTTTAAAATGGATCTTCAGAAACCCATGCTTGTCGTAAGAGGTGACTAACAGGATCGGGTGGTCAGTATCTGCAACTCAGTTGACACGGGTCATCATATCCTAATTGCATACATCGATACTCATGATGACAGTCACTGGATTGTTTTACAGACCACCATCATATAGATGGAATATTGCTGAGAGAGGGGTTAAACAACA